GGCCTCTGCCGGCTGGGGTGGTGCTGCGGGAGGGCAGACGGGTGGCTAGGGGCGCGGGGCCGTTGTCGGTAGTTGTGGGACGGGACGGGCCTTTTTGGCCCGGCGACTCCCTGCCCCGCTGCTGTCAGCTGTGGGCGCGGGCGTTGTTGTTTTTCTTCTTCCATTTTGTAGCTGCGGCCTTCCCGCGGGGGCTCTGGGGCGGTCCGTTTTGTTCGGCGTGTCCCTGGGCTCGGCTGGCAATGGGGGTGCCTGGCTCAGGGGCTTCCCCCGGGTCCTGCCGCCGTAAGGCGCTGGGCACTGCTCTGCTCGGAGGCTTCTCGGCTGGGCCCCTCCGAGGTGAGGAGAGGGAAGCTGGGTGTGTGCGGTCCCGGTGAGGCTCCGCTAGGATGAACCGTCTCGTTAATGAGGGGAAGAGGCAAAAAATTCTCCTGGTCTAACGGGTTGTTCAGTGGGGCGGGGAACGGAAGAAGCCAGCTGGGAGAGGAGTGCTGTTGACTTTTTTACTTGGGATGTGGTTCCATGCAGTTTTTTTCTAGATCTAAAGGCGAATTGGCTGTGAAAGCACCACTTCTTTTTTTCTTCCTTTTAAAGATTCTGGCGTGTGTTGTTAAGAATGCAAGCTATCAGTGTATGTACAATGTGTGAGACTGTTCAAAAAATTAGCTAAGCTGCAGTTGATGTTTTAGACTCTGCTGAGTTGTCTGGTTTTAGTTTGTCTTTATTACAAAGATGTAAAAAAGATGTAAATCTGTCTTCTTTTGTTAAATAATTTTAAAGTCACAGTATTTCTATTATAAAATTTCTGCCGGTATTTTTCTCATCTTGCTTATCGGCCCTGCCTGCAAAGGCTACTGAAAAGCCAGCCCCTCTTTGTTGGGTCCTGGAAATTTTCAAGTGATTAGTTCCCTAACCTGGTGGTCTGACTTTGAAATAGACTTAGATATGTGTGGAGAAAAGGAGTGGTCATATTTCAACTCCAAATAGTAGGTTTATAACAAATAATTGTATAAAGGAACGGGGTGGGGGTTGAGCATTAGCATATATAAATCTCATAAAATGTCTATAGCTAGGTTTATTTTTCATATGTATTTGTATGTGTGTATACAAAACAGGAGGAAGGTCTCTGATAAAGCTACTGTTAGTGACACTTTAGTTTACTGGATGGAATAACCTTGCACCGAGATAAGGGGTTTTTATCAGCCTATTATAAACCTGAAACTCCTTGTTTGGGAGCTTAATGTTGTATTGTTACAGTCAATAGCTAATTTCAGAATAAAAATACACTGAAACAAAAGTCTCTTGGTGATCTGAGTAGCTGTTTTAAATTTCAGCCTTCAATTGAGACTAGAAAGGCTACAAGTCACTGACTTTACATCTGCAAGTGAGTGGTTTTGCATGTTTTTGGGGTCCTGCTGGAGCGAAATTACTTTATATAACAATATAACTGAAGAGAGAAACCAGCTCTGAACACAGATTATAAAATAACAAGGCTTACTTCTTGAAGCAATTAATTGTATAATTCACAGCAAAAAAAATCCATTCTAAAAATAGCAAATTCATGGCTAGAAATAATACTACTGTTTTGGTTATAATTCTGACGTTAGCTTTTTGGAAAATGTTGATTTCTTGAATGTTCAGGTAGTTTAAAATCCATACATGGTAGATAGTAATAATTATGAGAGTTACAGGAAGCACTGTGGGACTTGGAAGTTCAGTGCATGTGTAAGTTCAAATTGGATCTCATTCCAGCTGTTCTGAGACTTACCTCCTTTTTCTAATCTGACAGCACTTCAGTTTTTTCATTGTGTTTTATAATATATCACAATAATAGTGAAATAAGCTTGCAGTAACAGTGCAGTCTTGCACAAATTAACTGCTGTGCAGGGAAGCTCTTGTCCCTTAACTTAAAATCACTTATGTCTGAGAAGATATACTTAAAGAGTAACAAATTATGAAAAACAATTCAAAATGTCGTAAGTGGTAGTGATGAAATTACAAATAAGAATATTGTGGTTTTGCAATAAAGCTTTAGAACAAAAATGTACTTAATACTTTAAAGCAGAACATAGTAGAAAAGACAGGATTTTTTCAGTGAAGTATGTTTGTATATTCAAAGTCAACTCTGTTTTAGGGAAAATACTTCTGGGTTTCCTACCTAGGGGTTTTCTTATTGGTTGGCTTGACTGCTAGATCCTAAGCTTATGTTTGCAAGCCTGAGACTTAAATTGGAAAGGGAAAAATTTTAATTTCAGTGAATGTCATATAGAGTTGTAATAAAAGAATGATATATTGTGATTGGTTTTGTCTTGGTTTAACTGTTCTAGTTTAATCCTTCAGGGTTTTTTTAATGCAAGACTTCAGCGTTATAGTTTCAGCCTTATTTTCTGTTCCAACTTGTCTACTGTATTGAAACACTTCAAGTTTTTTGCCTTTAATCTGTAACTCCTAGTCCAAAAAAATTGTTTGGTGACTCTCTCACTGTAAATACTCTATATTATTGAGGTAGCTGTTTAGATTCTTACTGATTTAAAAACTCACTAATATGTTAGTCCTAGCTACTGTCAGAATATCACTTCTGACTACTTAAATGATTTAGATGTGCTAAAACTCAATAGCAGTTTTCAGTCTCTTAAATCTTGTGAACATGTTCGCACTAAAACTGACTGACTTGTTCTCAGAACTAAGGATTTGCCAGACTACTGTTAAAAATTTTTTTAAAAAAGAGTACTCATTAGAGCTGGCTTGAATCAAGTTTAAATGAACATGTCATCTATGGAGGCTGTACCTAAATTACATTTCAGTTGTCTTCAAGAAAAGTAAGTATGTCTAGAAAATATACAGATAATACATATCTGCCTTCAGAGTTCTTGAAAATTTTACCTATATAAGAGAAAGCTGGAGCGCTGATGCCTGTTGTTATCTAACATAGAAATATAGCTTTGAGAATAGCTGTCTTGTAACGTGGAGGAGCATGGAACTTTGCAGGCCATGATTTTGTGGGTTGTGTTACTGGAAAAAAAACAGGAGAAGCTTCTGTGCACTTCTCAGTTTGCTGGGGAGGTGCAGTGCTGGGTACCGAATCAGTTACTGCTACAGAATGCCAAAATGAATTCAGTGTTTTGACTGTGCTGTATTGATTTATGCTAGTCTCTATCTGAGCAGTGATACCTTGCTGGTTACAGAATAATGTATTTTGAGATACTGATGCATGTAGCTTCTGATTTTTATTACTTTCTAAACTGAAATCTAGAATATCGTAGTAGTACTCTCTTTTAGGAGATATTTGTTTTCCTCTATTCTGCTTTGTGTGTATTAAGTTGCTTTTCTAACTTTCAAAACCAAAATTAGGCCTTGCTAGATTATAAGAAATACTTGAAAAGACCATTTTTTAGTGTTTTGTATGTGCTTTTAGTACATAAACTTGTACATATGAATTAAAAATGCTTAGTATTAGCATAGTGGATGTGGGGTCTCCTAGTCACATCATCTAGGTGCTGGTGTTGCTGGTATAGCAGTTTTGGGAGTTCTGCCTTTAATGGTGGTAGCATCAAGCCTCAAGCTTAAGAGCTTTAACTTGGCATAATAAGGCAGTACTGCTAAGAAATAGAGAGATGCATGGACATAAGCCATTCCTGTTGTTGTAAACAAAGAATCATGTGATGTTTGCATAAAGCAAACTGGAGCCCCTGAAGTTATGATCAACAGATTAAAAGCAGACCATCTAGATATCGCTTTATTTTGAAATCCTTTTCATAGGATTGAGATAACAATGTTGATGGAGTACTAGGAGGAGGAATTTGCCCTTGAAATACCTGCTTCAAATGCCAGCTCAGTCCTTGAATTTCTAGGAGATGGTTATCATTTTTAGTATAATGCTTGCATTTCATTAGAATTTGTTTTAACTATGAGGCAAGGTTATGATTTAGATTTTTTTTTAAAGTTGGAGATGATACAAGAAATGGTAGATATGTAGAACTGAAGTTGAGAGGACAATCTTTATGGCTTTGAGTCTGTAGACAGCCAATGAAGCATGATGCTGAGATCAGCTGTTAATTCAGTGCTGGCATCTCAATAACAGGAAATAGCTGGGGTGTGTTTGCTCTACTTTGGGGAAGCAGTCTAAAAGCTTAGTAAGTAATGGTTCTTAATTATTTTTTATATAACTTGATGTCCTGATCTCTTACTAGTAAATCACTGTAGTAATGAATATGGAGTAAGTATTCTGATGAGCCTAGCACAGTGCCTTCATTATGCACATTTGTATTGAAACAAGATATTTTAATTAGTCTTCTCAAAGCTTATGTGACCACTATTGTGTTCTTAATAGTTTGGCCCAAATAGCCTTGTGTGTGCTGTGTTATGCTTTCTACCACTTCCAAAATTGTTGCACAAACTGACAGAGCTGTTGCAAAGTTAAATTTTTCTTTGCATGGAAAGCAAAATCCTAAGTTTTGCTCCCCCTCCTTTTTTTCTTACAGGTAGAGCAAGTGAAACTACTAGATAGGTTCAGCACGAGCAATAAGTCACTGACGGGAACTCTATACCTTACAGCAACTCATCTATTATTCATAGATTCAAGCCAGAGAGAGACGTGGGTAAGGATAATGAATCCTTGTGGCTCAAAAATGTTGGTTCTCCAGATACATTTGTTCCTCATCTAAGGTTGAATTTGTTTACTAGAATGTAAATTTAAGTTATAAGCTACTCCACGTGCTCTCCTTGTTCATGGTATCATAGTAAGTTAATTAATGATTTGCAGGTTGTACTCTTGCATGACACTGCAGTTGAAATCAGGTAATGTTGAAAGTATTTGCTTCTCTTCAAGCTGCTGTAATTTCTTTTATAGCCTTCACTTGTATTCCTGAGTGAATGTGTGGTGGTTTTCTTTAAATAACTGGCTTGAACTGCAATTCAGAGGTAGGAGTGGAAGACTGCTAGATAGTTTAAGCATCAGGTTTAACATTTCCTCATTAATTTACCTTGTATTTAGATCCTGCGTAGGTTAAATGAGACAGCAAAATCCAAAGATCTAGGTTTTGGTGAAATATTGAAGATCTCATGCCCTTTTTCTAGAGTTCTAAGCAGCTTTTTCTTCCCAAGTGTTCATCTCTGGAATAAAGGGATTCAGAAGGAGCTGGTGCTTCTTGGCCACCAGTACCAATATTGTATAATTGAAGTTCACTAATACAGTAGTTGCTATCATTCTGCTCAGTGTCCAGGTGCCATGCGTGGGCATCAAGTTCTGGCTTCCACTGTAGCTCAGATAACTGACTTAGTACCTTAAGTCTGTCATCTTTTGGGATGAAACCTCGTTTTCCTGAGTGTAGTTAATTTTTCTCTGTAGATCTGTCTTTCTGGATTATGCTTAATCCTGTGTCCTGTTTATATGACTAGATGCCTCACAGTGCTTTCAAGAAAAGTTATTGTTCTGTGATTTGTTCTACAATGTGCAATTTTGTCCAAACCAAACTGTTGGCCTTTCGTCAAAATGGATTACTGGTGAGAACGTGATTCAGAAGCATTACTTGTGTCTCCCTGTGCACTATGTTAAAAGGTTTTTTTTGGGGGGAAATTGAACCTATACCCCTGACCATTGCATTTCTGTGATGATAATGCAAGTACCAAGTATAATTATGGTATCATCCCCAAGATAATAGTCTCTTTGTGAAAGCATATTGAGCAGCATAATTTTCAGATGCTTGTCTAATTCTGATCAATATTTAAGAGGAGATGATTACTTCAGTGATTTAAGTGAATTTCCTTCAAGAACATCTTGTTCAGTTGAGGTAATGTATCTGTGGCTTTCTTCTCATGGTTGAACAGCAATTACTTTCCCGTGTATTTTCCCAAATTTTGTGTAGATTTCCCACACAGATAAATCTGCGGAGAGCTTTTCTATATCCATTACTGTGGCAGCCTTCTGTTAAAGTGGTTGAAAGACATTTAGCTGAGAGACTGTCATGTCTACATAATGCAGTGGGTAATACAGGAGATGTTTTTCTTCTCTCCTATTCATTCTGTAGATGTTAAATACTGGAATTCTGTAATCTTCAGCATCTTCTGTATCTATTATGTTTTGAATTGCTTTTCTTGATTTGCGTTATTTTGCTTAAATTCTCATGTTCCTCTAGAACCTTAAAAAAAGAAGATACCTTGTTTGGACCCTGCCTAATTAGATGTAAGCTTGTCAGTTAGCAAAGCTGTAAAAGAGGACTGAACAGCTACAGTGGAGTTTATTTCTTGCTTTTGTGTTTTGAAGGATATTTACTGTTCCTTACAAACATTAGGTAACGCCTCAAAGTATGAGGGAAAAGTTAAAATTTGACAAATTATGATATCCTGACCAAAATGCCATTCTTGGTTTTCTTTTAAATTTGTTTTTATTACTGATTGACAAAATTAGTCCAAAATCCATATCCAGGATTGCTTAATTTGTCTTTTATCTGCTCCTGTAAATACCATGTTGTTCTCATTTTTCATCAATGTGCTTACGTTGTGAGGTTTTGTATGCTACAGATACTACATCATCACATTGCTGCGGTGGAAAAACTTCCCTTGACTACTTCTGGCTGTCCCCTTGTCATCCAGTGCAAGAACTTCAGGACAGTTCACTTTGTTGTTCCCAGAGAGAGAGATTGTCATGACATCTATAACTCTTTGCTTCAGTTGTCAAGAACAGGTAATACCTCTAAGTGTAAAAGAGTTGGCAGTATATGCCTGGATAATAAATTGCGGGGGGACTAATCCATGACTCTTATAATTATTTTTTTCTTTTGACATGCATTAAGTATAAGTCATTTAAATGGATTTGGTATGTAAAAAAAAAATTTAATGACTAAGTATTAATCTGCATACAAATTCAGAAGATGTTACCTCGCTTTTGTAGATCCCTGACGTTCACTAACAGAATGAGATTCCTTTGTTTTCTGCATTTCTAGTGTTATCCTTGAAATTGTGAATATAAAAGCATATAGTCTCTCTTTATTGGTGTATTTCATAGATAAAATGCTGCTAAGCAAATACTAAGTTGTTACTGATTTCGTGCAGTTTCAAAAATCCTAAGTTTTGGTGTTAAAATAACACTACCAGTTCAGCTTTACCAGTTCAGCTTTACAAGAGACTTTTGTCACCTAATACGGTCTTTTGCATGTTCTGCTTTGTGTTTAGAACAATGTAAAATGTCATCACCTGTGGTAAGTGAATAGTGTATTAAGAAAAACAAAATATTTTGAAAGCTTTTTTTCTTTAAAGGAAATGTTAAAACTTACTGCTTTTGAAGGTCAGTAGATGTAAATTTCTGTTTTTACCTCCAAAAATAGTTTGTTGTTTTATCTCCTGTGAAGTCTACTAGCAGTTCTGCCTTTTGCCTTGTTAATTTTGTCAGTCTTCATTACGTGAGCTCTGCTTTACCCTCATGGCTTTAGAAATGTCCCTGCTAAAATAGGTCAAGCACACTTGAGAGCTCTCATAGCCTACCTTATAACTAAGTAGGTATAATTGTGTCAGTTAACTGTATGATAGTTACTGAACAGATACTTGACACTCTTGAAATATTTAGTCTTGCTTTTTTGAATCTTGAAGCCTGAAACTTTCTTTACAGTTTGGGCAATTTTGAGACTTGTCAACTGTACTACCTTTTTTGGGGGCATTTCTGGGGACAACTCATTACATAGTCTTATTCTTTACCTTTTAGCAAAATATGAAGAACTGTATGCCTTCTCCTATAATCCAAAACAGAATGAATCTGAGCAAGTCAAAGGTTGGCAACTTATTGATCTAACAGAAGAATATAAGAGGATGGGAGTGCCAAATAGTAACTGGCAGTTGTCTGATGCAAATCGTGATTATAAGGTAAGTGGTGTAATAGAAACACATTTTGCTCTGCATCATATTCTGATTTATTCTCTGGCTATAATTCTATGGAAAACAGTCTAATACTATGAAATCACTTGGATTGTGGCATAAGGAAAAACTTGCAGGTGGAGAGAATTAACTCCTTGATCAGTGTGCAATCTTACAACTTTAACTGAAGTTTTTTCCAAGGTCTCATTGAGAGAGTATGTGTGCATGGATGCATGTGTTCTTTGGGATTGTTTCTAGAGTATATGTACCTGTCTGAAGGCCAGCCCTAGCAATTCTGGGGGCTTTGTTATCTTCCCTAACTAAGAAGGATTATATTTCAGCATTTGCAATGTTGACTAAGGGAGAAAACGGGTGCGGTGGTGTAGCAGATTCCCAGATTAGATTTAATTTTAATTTGTAGTCTGCAAATACAAAGAAAGAGGAAAATAATTTCAGTGTTTTATGAAACACATTCTTAGCACTTCTAAAGAGTAGCATTCTTGAGGTGAATGCTGGTATGTATAACAGTGCTTTTCTGGCAGTCCTTGGTTGTATAACTTGGATACCAATTGTGCTTACCTGTCCATGGCTTGTTTCCTCTTCTGAGCTATTTATGTGTACATATAGAGGCATGTTAGTGTTTATCCTTTGTCTCTTATTTCACCAAACATATCTCAAATCAGATGCAATGAAACTAATATAGGCTTTGTGCCTTATACATTAAAATTCCTTTTGTGTATCTGTGTCTTTCAGATTTGTGAGACCTATCCTAAAGAACTTTATGTTCCCAGAACTGCAAGCAAGCCCATAATTGTTGGTAGCTCCAAGTTCAGAAGCAAAGGAAGATTCCCAGTGTTGTCATATTATCATAAAAATAAAGAGGTATAGTGTGTCTTCCTCTTAATGCAAATACACTGGAAAGTATTTCTCAACACTTGGCAGTAGTTCAGGGTAGCTAAGGAGGTAAGTACAGGGACTTTCATAAGAATGGTATAACTTGCTATAACCTTAAATACAGCTGACACTAGTGGTGTCTGACAGGATGCTAAGCCACTCTAAAAGAAGTCCTTAAGTAATCTGTTGATAATCATTTCAATCTCTTAGTTTTCAGAAACTGGCCTTAAGGTTAATTGAAAAGAGCTTTCTGTCAAGTGAACTGTCTTCCTTGATACATCAAGCATAAAATCTGTTAGGTCAAAGGGGGGGTTTAAAAAACAAAACCCAAACCAACAAAACCCCGAAGGAATAGAACTGGTTCTTCAAGGAGGAATTTGCAAGGTAGAGAAGAACTAAAGGATGAGAAATAAGACTTTTCAGGGTTTGGTAGAGTGGTGTGAAGCAGCATCTGTATGTCTTGGCTACAGGATATCTTTGAAGGGAGAGACGGTTTCACCTTGCCGAGTCGAAGAATTTATGAAGGATGAGTGTTAAGCCACTAGATGTATTTGAACATAATTACTGTTTGGAAGATGCACCTGATACCTTCGAAATACAATATATAATTGAAAATTACATTAGATGATAACATGTTGTACTTGCAGTAGTAAAACCAACCATAATTAATTTCTTACCAAAGGAGTAACTTGCTTTCCTGAAGTGTATTTTTTCCAGCCTTTTTTTTTTTAATTTTTATACTAGGGAAAAGTCCAATATGTAAACTTGCCAATGCAGATGAGTCTGAAAAAATGTTAGGATAAACATTTAAACTTAAGTTGCAGCTACTGTGTTTGAAGATCTGCAAGTGATGTGCTTAAAAAGTTGGAACACCTAATCATTTTTCGGTTTAGTGCTGTTATCTGCCAAATGAAGCAGTTTGTCTCAGTGCCTTTTTAGAATTATGCAAAGCTTTTCAACTACAGGTATTAAACTGATACTAGCTTGTTCTTTGTTTTCTTTGGTAGGCTGCAATTTGCAGATGTAGTCAACCTCTCTCAGGTTTCAGTGCCAGGTGCCTGGAAGATGAACATATGTTGCAAGCCATCAGTAAAGCAAATCCTTCAAATCGCTACATGTATGTCATGGACACCAGGCCAAAGGTATGTTCTTCAGGTTCTATAGACTAGCCTGTCTTCCTGAACATTAGAGTTCAGGGATACTGTGTGGTTCTGAAAAATTCGGAGTTAAATATGATTCTGTTATGGGCAAAAATATTCTTTATAGGTAAGGTTAGGCCACTCTATTCAGGCTAATAACTTCCTTTCTTAAAGAAGTTGAACCCCTCTCAGGACTTAGCTAGAATTCACTGGATATGCTAGTGAACTTTGGGGAAGGTACATTTAAAAATATACTTAAAACATAGTTAAGTAGTGAATAGTTGAGTGGGACTTGAGTCACTATGACTTTTTAGAATTCATGAGAAGGTGAGCTGTTGGAGTTTCTTTTAGAATTGGAGGGAGTACTGTGTTCTGTGGAAACTGCTATTGCTGTTTGTCTTAGCCAGGAAGGAGTAGGGGGAATTTTGTTGTATCATTGAGGTCATACTTCATCACTGTGTAATTCAGTTGAATTATGCTGAGTTTTTGACCTGTGTTGGAATGTGGGGGGCAACTTTCACTTTTTAGACCATCTGCATTTATGTTGGTGTTTGTTTACTCAAATCTTTGAATGCAGAAGCTGGAAACACTAAAGAATTTTGCCAGACTGTGGGTGTCTTTAGGATTGCTTTATTAATAAAACTCAGAGTTGGGCCATCACCGAAGTGAGTGGCAGTGGCTAACAAAAAGTACCTCCTATATATGTGATTCTACATAACATTATGTAATACAAAAGTCTTTGGTGTTTTCCCACGGGCTCTCAGCTCTTAATTCTTCATCAGTTTCAAAAGTCCATTATATTCCACAGCTTCAGCTGATTCTCATTGTTTTGTTCCAATTCTTTTGAAGCCACTGCACACTGGTGCAGTCTTTGGTCATCATAGTTACTTATCTTCTTAAACAATCTCTGTCATAATTCACCTTTAGACTTCTGAGAAACTCAGGATGTTCTATTTAACATATACTTAGTCTATGTCTAACACTTAGTTACCTAGTCTTTCTAAATTGCTTACTCCAAGTTAATCACTTACTACTTTTGTTATGTCTAAAACTTAGTACCTAAGATTAATTTTTGTTAATTCAGCTTGACTGGATTTTAAACCAGCCACGGTAAGGGCTGGACAGGTGATAAGTGAGTGATATTGGCATTGGACTGTCAGTATGGTTTTTTTGAACACCTGTATTTTATTTAAACATATAAGACGATATCTATTAATTATTCCTACTATTATTTTCTACGTATAATATCCTATAAGAAGTCTTCTGAAAGCTTGTTCCTTTTACAGAAAAGGATGTAAAGTGAAAAATTTACACTGCAGGATCTGTACTTATTTTCAGCAGGGCTCAGCAGTAGGTTGGTCTGACAGACTGGAACTGAGCCAACTGTGGGTTTTTATAGTTGTAATTTTTATAGCTGCAACAATTTATTAGCTGCTTACCCCCAAAATGGGCATTTTTAGGATGCCTGGAAAGTGCATGTATGGTTAAGTCTGGGTCTTACTCTTTCCTTTTAAGGTTAATGACTTGTAGTGTCTTTTCTCAGAAATATTTGGAAATAAGTAGAGGCTTGCTGATGGGAATGTGGAGGAGAGTAGTAAATTATTAAATAATTAAATGCATTACTTGGATGTGTCAAATATACAACATGTTGCTTCTATGTACCATGCTTTTCTTATGCTTGAATGCTTTCAGGCTGGTTTACCACAAACTGTTAAGATCTGTTTATAGTATGTGGTGTTCTGTGGGGTTTTTTTTGTTTTTTTTTTTTTCCCTGTGTATTCCATTGAAATTGCATGACTTTTATTTCTCAATTTAAGATTTCTATTTGAAGTACTCAGTTTTCAGTATTCTTATTTTGCTTTTTTAAGCTTAATGCAATGGCAAACAGAGCTGCTGGGAAGGGTTATGAGAATGAAGACAACTACTCTAACATTAGATTCCAGTTTGTTGGCATTGAAAATATTCATGTAATGAGATCCAGTTTACAAAAACTTCTAGAAGGTATGTTCTATCTGTCCTATAATACTGTATGTGAAAATAAGGTATTTTTCTGAAGTCTTTAATAGTAGCTTGTACAAACTGTATTGTTATTTCTGTATTTTATTCTAGCTCTACATTTAGTACCAGCTTTCTGTGCTCTGTAGTAATGAGTTACTTTAAACTTCTACCTTTAAACTGAAAACCCAATGAATGGAGTTATTTTGCAGAAAATTAACTTAGTGGCACTTGTGTCTTGGGTGAACTTGATTAGCGTGTCAGTGGCTTATGAGAAAGACTTTTGTGTTTTCCAAGTATACATGCATATATACACACATGTATAACATGCCCAAAACAGTGTGCGTCTGTACATACATTTTCATATATAGAATACTGATTCTTCAAGGAGCATTTAGTTTCAGAGAGTTCACAGTTAGCATATGATCTGTGCAAAACTCAAGCTCTTTGGTCTGGTAAGCCACTTCTGTGCTTGTAGGTACATCTTAAAGTGTTTGTAGAGGGTGGGGCAGGGGGAAAAACGAACCACTTCACCATACCACTGCCAGCTACATGGTGGTGAAAATTGGAGAGGCAGATGTCTGTTAAACAACTATGTTAATAGTTTGTTCAGGTAAACAACTGAAAACAAATTTAAGACACTTTGTGGGGTATTAATACTGAGATTAGAGTACAGTGCCAGAAGTCAGGCTTTCACACCTGACAAACAATACATATATAAGTAAGTGCTTGCCTGGTAAAATTATGCAAACGTTTCCAGTCATGGAGAAGGCTTACACTTGCATGGAAGCCTATTTTGATGAAGATATTCTGGCTACACTGGTCAAGAAATATTACAGACTAGTGGTGTAGTCTTACTTCAGGCACTCTGTATGGAATACTACTGAGTTTTAATAATATGTATTATTGTGGTTATTCCTGCACATACTTTATTGAATTGAAAGCTGAGGAGCATGAGCCTGAACTTCAGTTCTTAAGTTTGGGATAATCCCTCTCTCTTTTGCTAATATCTTCTTCAGTTCCAGAAAACTAGCAAATAAATCTTGACTCTTTTTTGAGGCCTGCTCCTGTGTAATAATGTCTGATGCAGAAGTGTGTGCATCACACAGTTAAACTTCACAGACTTCGTATTCCTTCCAATTGACTCAACATCCTACTAATAGTACTCAGAAAATATCTTTCTATAGTTTTCATTAAGGATGCAGTATGTTTTAGGTTTTTCCTTGTATGTAGGATTGGTTTATTTGAAGTTGATTGAAACAAAATCATAAGTAATTGTAGCTGTTCTCCAGGTTAGATTTTTGGGGTAAATGAGCATAGTTGCTTTACCTCTGTTTAGTCTCTATAATTCACTAGAGTTTTGCTGAATGCCAGTCTAGAAGTAGAAGCATCTTTAGGAGTAGGAAGGACCCCTAAAATTTAGGGGGGTATGGAATAATTTAATTTTCAGACCCCTATAAAAATGTACCATCAGTGGGGTGATCAGGCAGGAAATGCTATGAAAACGGTTCATAGCTTAAAATGAGGAAAATGCCATTCAACTTTCGTCTACCTGCTTCCCCTAGACATGCTGAACTGAATGGTCTCAAATCAGGACTGTGATACCGATGACCCCATTCTTTCAAGAGCCATTGTAACAGACTGTCCTCAGTTTTATTTATAACAAACAACTGTGATTCATTCTTCAGTATGTGTTCTGCTCCTATCTTCCTGATTTTTCCTTCAGAGTCTTAATGATTCCATTTGCAAGCAGAATGTAAGACAAAATTCTTCCCAATACCCTTTTTTAACGAGACTACACCATGGAGCATCCTAGGGGTATTTACAGTCTATTCTTCATCTTGGCTTTAGTTGCTTTTTAAATATGTTGCATGCAGTGAAACAAAACTTTCTAAAATAGTTTTATCCAGTGTGGACATGACTGCTCCCCTGATAGGCAGATTGCATATCTGTACAATACTAATGGAGGACTCTTCACGTAGGTGAAATCTGTGTGGCTGTGGTATTAAAGTCCCATTCCTACCTATTCAAATATGCTATTACATGTCAGAAAAGACTGACTCTGATAAGCAGAAAGGTTTTGCGTATGTCAAGAAACGGCATTTCTGCAGGAAATATTTAAGAGGCTCAATAATAGCTGCTGTGGTCCACTGCCCCCAACCTACAGTTCTTCAGTCACCTCTAGTCAAAAGGTTCTAGTTGCTTCTTGAACTGCTGCTGGAGGCATTGGCAGTAGTGTGTATAAGGATAATCAAGCAATGGAACATTGAGATTTTGGGACTCATGGGCACAAGGCATGTGTTTCTATGGTGGGATCCAGGTAGTTAAAACTCTGCTAAATGATAGTTATTGTGAAGTAGCTAAACATCCTAGTGGTACTGTAAATCATCTTTGATCCTCTTAGGGACCATAAGGGACTGGAAATAGTGGTTGTTTTTTTCTGGCATATAAGTGTTAAAACAGTGTCAATGCTGTTTCTTTATTTCATCACTAAGTAGTGTAAAAATGTGTTGATTCACAGAAATGGAAAGTAATTCTTTGGGCTTAACATATGTGTTCTTGTGTCTGCCTTGGTTTATAAAAATATAGAAATCTAGTTAGAAGGGGGAAATACTAGTGATGAAATATTTCTACCAAAAAAAAATTCTGATCAAAAGCAGATTTTGACAGCAGTATCTAGGTGAAAATAAACTGAGGGCTGGAAGCCTGTTTATTTTCTAGCTGAAAGCTTGTGCTTTAAACCATAAGCTACAGAATGTAGGGGTGAGCAGCCATGAATAGTGCCTCTAGACATTGCCTTGTCTGTCCAATCCCTTCCCTGCAGATGTTTGAATTTTTAGTTTCTTTTCTTTACCATAGTGGCAGACCTGTTCATGTGCTGTTGTGGTTGAACAGGTGTATGGAACCACTGGTGTAGAGAGAGTGTGAGTTAGCTGAAAGGATCCAGTTGTTCTCAACTGATTTCCTCCATGTGCTAGACCTTTCAGTAGAAGCAGCTAAAGCTGTGCTAGTTCTCCCTGGTCATTGAAAGAAATAGCATTGTTAGGCAAGAGTTCTGCTTCTGAAAGGTCTAGCACATGGAGGAAATCAGTTGAGAACAGGTCTAGCACAGGAGGAAATCCTCCACATGGAGGAAATTTACAGACTAACCTTTAAAATCAGGTGTTGTTTCCAGGAGTTTCTTGTATTGTTACCTCATTGTGCTACAGTTTGCTAGCTCTTTTTCTATATGACAAGGATCCATAGGCTTTAGGCTTTTGAAAAGGTGCTGTGAAACTTTGGAAACCTTTCTTAGTTGCTGTTGAATGCTATGACAGTCATGACTCCTCCTGAGCAGTGGGGAGTATACTAAAACTTGTATGGCTGAAAGCTGAGAAACATGTAGTCCAGATATGGCAAAAGTCTGCGAAGCAATAGTTTGAGTTTATAGCCTTTGTTACATCAAAGGGTGTGACTGAACATGAAACTGTGTCGCAGAATGACTTAGTGAAATTGGTTCTCTACTTCCCTATTGACTCACTTCCTCCCATAGTCAGAAATAAAGATTATTTTCCAGCTGCTGTATGAATATCCCCACTTAAACCTTTTGGCTACATGGCTACAATGTCTTAATTTGGTGCCCACTAGTTTAGAATCATGGAATCATTTAGTTTAGAAAAGACCTTTAAGATCATTAAGTCTACCTGTTAAGCTTGGTAGAAAGGAGGCTTCTGCTGTGGTAGGGACATGTATTTTTGTAGATCCCAACTTCAGGTATCTTCTCTTAAAATCACATATAGCTGAAACTATATTAGCCAGCAAATACTTATTTTCCTATTGCCAGAAGCTTGGCATGTGTGGACAATAATATAGCTGTCTGAAAATCATACAGGAACCAGGTTATCTGTCCCATTTGTGAGTTGATAGGTGTCTGTGTGAATAACTTTCAGTCTGCCTCTACACCTCTTGCTGCTACACTGCAAGAAATCTTTCTTTTGAGTTATTGCCCTCTTAGATGGCATTGCTCAAGGATCGAAGTATGCTAGGGAAGAATGGTAGAGATCAGTCAGAATTGTAGTATGTCAAGTCTGGAGGTAGACAGTTTTGATGGTTTTCAGTTCATCACCACGTCCTTATACTGTACTCACTTTATTCTCTTAAGCCAGTGGAGAAGGTGATGAAACTCTTGGCAGTCTGACTACTCTGAACTATGTATAGTCTCTGGATGCAGCTACTTCCTACTAGTAGTTGTAATTTTAAGTATTTCTGATAAGCTTTTAACATTTGCGTTGCTGTCCTTAGAAAGGTTCCCTATTGGGGATAACAGCCAGCATATTTACTTTAAATTTATTTTGTCAAAGACACAAAGATTTCCCTCTTGTCACTCATGATTACTGTAGTTCTAGAGTTGAGGTTTGGATGGAGAACAGTTTGTAGTACCCCTTTCTTAACCATTTGACTAATGGTTTCCTGAAAGATTCTTAATCAACTTACAACATAGGGCATTAGAAACAACATACTGTTATTCTCCTTACTCCATTGTAGGGTATATAGATAGCTGCAGCTGTTTAAGGCTTTTTCACTATTGGTTTCTTTCAGTCAGTGGCACAAAGGGTTTGTCTGTCAATGACTTCTTGTCTGGTTTGGAGAATTCTGGATGGCTACGTCACATCAAAGCTGTGTTGGATGCTGCTGTCTTCTTAGTCAAGGTAACTTGCATGCTGCTTCTTTATTTGGGAAGTTGACTTGCTACTAGGCAAAATGATAATATTACATCATGTGTAAAATTCTATAACTGACATTTTGAAGGTAGATGCTTAGTATATACAAATACATCTGATATGCTGGTTTAAGTATTACATGTTTCTTTATGACTAGGCATGTTAAACATGCTAGCTAATGTTTTGGGATTTTTTTTAAATGCTGTTTGGTCACCTTATTGGGAGATGAAGGGACTCTTAAGCTCCCTTATTAAAGGTGTAATGAGTTTGGAGGTAGATAGAGAAAACTATTTATTGTACCCTGAAAAAGAGAACTACTGGGGCACTAATTGCAGAGAAGCCAAACTGCCGATGCTGACTTCACTGGCAAGGAAATGGGACTCTAAAGAATCCAGAGGAACAGTTGCCTTTGCCACGCATCTGTGAAACCAGGGCCTTGACCCGAAGGGGGCTGGGTGAAGAGAAAAACCTGGATCTTTGTTTTTACTAGGTGAAATAACAAGAAGTTAACTTCAGTTAAAAGTGGATGATTCTCCTAAAGATGACTTTCAAATACTTGGACTTGGAGGATTTTAATTCTTAGCTGAAGTTAATAAGCATTTCCTAGTCCTTAACCTTTGTGTAGTATAATGATGAACACGTGGGTATCTTTAATGGTATGTTTGTGTTGGTTTATTTTTTAACCTGTTTGGTCTATAATGTGTAGTCTACTACTTTCTCAGTATATATTGCAAGGAGTTTTTAGTATTTTACTTTTATAAGGGATAGAAAGAGAACTGGGAACTCCTGTAGGTATTCTTGTTACCTTGTGCATAGGTGGTAGTGGAATTTTCTTAAGGAATTTTCTGTACTTTCACAGAAAGAAATTACTAGCTTTCTGATAGTATCAAATCCTTTCATCACAACAAACACTTTTGTGGCTTTGTTAAAATAAAATGCTCTATGCTTTGAGTTTGGAATGAATGCAGATCTTGTACTTAATAAATTTTGACTTCTGTCTAGAACAGAACATTCACTAAAACAACTGTGTTTTGCAGGCAATAGCGGTGGAGAGTGCAAGTGTGTTAGTGCACTGCTCAGATGGCTGGGATAGGACTTCCCAAGTCTGTTCTCTTGGAGCTCTCTTACTAGATTCCTATTACAGAACAATCAGAGGATTCATGGTAAGCAAGCTGTAGCATCCTTGAGTGGTTCTTTGGTAAACAAAGGATATAAAATGTTTGAGTGTGAAAGTCAGTGTAGACACACTGATGCTTGCCTTTTGCAGTTACAAATACAAGATTAGCAGTATACTGCTATGTCTTTCTATTAGAAATACTTTGCTACTGGGAATAGCTATTTATTTAAAATCTAAACAACTGAAATGCGTATAGCAGTTTAAGGTACACTGCAGCAATGTTGCAGTGATTGCCTCTTGCATGCAAAAAAGTTCCTTATCTAGGAAATGCAAGGATTCCAATGTGCTTGTGTGAGATAGATGTACAAAATTATAGCAGCTCTGTGCTTTTTATCACTTTACCCAGAATCAACATGATTAAAATCTGAAAATGGCAACTCTCTCAGTGACAGAGACCTGAAGATATTTAAGCAATCTAAATATATTCGTCTTTATAGAGAGAGGAAGAGGTATTTCAGTATGATTCTGCCAAATTTTAGAGTAGGAGAATCAAGTGTTTTGCAGTGGCAATACAAGGTGCTATGGAACTCCTGAAAGATAGTGTGTAATATTGGTTCCATGTATTGGTTAGAACTAACTGCCACAAATCTTACAAGCAACAAAAGTGAAATTGAGGAATTCCAAGAAGATTCATTTCTTATGAGTAGGGAGAATGTTGTCATTTTAGGGAGATAATTTAATCTTACTGGTGGTTGTAGTCTGCACTGTCAATTGACTTTCTGGGAAGCTTCTGTAATGAGCAGGCCATCCTTTGTTCCTTCTGGTGCTTGATACTGTGACTGAAGTGATAAGCTAGTGTTGATATTAACGAACTTATTGTTATAAAATGTTACAAAGATTATATTGTGTGGTTTTATGTAAACTGTGATAGCAGGAATCCAATAATGAAATTTTTCCTATGCTTTGCAATTTTTTGCAAGTTGGTTGATAAACTACTTGTCAAGTCATACAACATTAGTATGCTTAAAGTGAGCCTGCCTTAACAACAGTTACCTGATTGTCAACTTGCTAAACTTTACTAGTTTTAGAAATGTGCTTTGAGTCTCTTGTGGAAGACTTCCAAGAAAATAAAGGAACAGTGGTGACAAATAGTTTCTCCTACTATAGTTTCACTGACTCCTATTTAAAAGACAATACTAATAATGTGGGGTTAATGCTATAGATACAAGATTGAGTAATGCTTTTACATGAGACTTTTTTTTTACCTTCTAGGTCTTGATAGAGAAAGACTGGATCTCTTTTGGGCACAAGTTCTCTGACAGGTAGTTCACTTCCAATACAGTAAAATGTATATAGTGAACTGAATTAAGTATTCTTAAAAACAAAAGACAACTTGTTGATATTAAACTACTGCAGTGTTGCTAGAAATTGTGCAATGAGTAAGCAATACACAGTGCATTGACTCCTTGAAAATAGCTATTGATTTAAATATCTATTGGATAATTGATTTCTATTATATGTGTAAATTTCTAGTGCTACTGGTCCCTCACACAAATGCTGGTGACTGCAGCTAGGTCTGCACATAGGCATAGACAGTGTAAAATCGATCTAAAGCTATGTCCCAGCTATTTAGGCAATATAAAACACTTAGTTTTGATATATTTTAAAAATAGTTTGCATTTATGTTTACTTCTACTGATGAAGTCACACCTACCTTTACAAGTACTGTATGTTAAGAGTTCTGATTTTTTTCCCATTGTCTGCCTGTCATCAGCTATGACAATAGCCTTGCTGCTGTTTACTACTTATTAATTTGCTTTTAGCTGGTATACACCAAATGTTGACTATGGAAGTAATAGACACAAAAGAACTTAACTCTCTTATGTTGCTCTTATGTATTGAATATAGATGTGTGATAACTTAAAATCAGAAAAATAGGTTAAATATAGACTTATTTCTATTCAGAAAATGCCCCAGTTCTCAGGTGCTTAATCTCCAAACCAAAGCTAGTGTCAAATTAATGTGCTGTCATTTAAAAACAGGTGCAACTAAGACTTTCTTGATTTCTAATTTGAACTGGTTTCAGTCTGTTCATGGAATCTTTTTCAGGTGTTGCCAGTTAGATGGTGATCCAAAAGAGATCTCACCAGTGTTCACCCAGTTTTTAGAAAGTGTGTGGAATCTGACCGAGCAGTTTCCACAAGCCTTTGAGTACAATGAAGCTTTCCTCCTTCAGATCCATGAACACGTCCATTCATGCCAGTTTGGTAACTTCCTTGGAAACTGCCAAAAAGAGCGAGAAGAACTAAAGTAAGCAGACACTGTAATATGTCTTGTTTATTCTTGCAGAATAAGAACTCCTGTGAATCTTCTTCATTTTAGGCTCTGAATAAAAGTAGAGACAGGATTGGTCGTACTGAAATTGATGTTGAATTGCATCAGGTGAAGTAGTGCTTGTCATGCTTTTGTGCACTGCAAGACAGTCTTTCTAATTCTGGGAGAAATGCTCATTTTTCATAGAGAAAGTTAAGGTTTCTTTCTTTCTCTTCTCCCCCCCAAACTAGGTAAGATTAAGTTTGGAAGTATTACTTCATACTCTTCCCCAGTCTATTTTTAGGTAACCTTAAAATTCTTGCCTGCTCAAGACTCATTACTGTCAGTTAGAGGTATTAATAGGATGTCTGCCAGTGTTTTCAGTTGGAAAATCTCTGTAAAGTTTTTGTCAGTTCATCTTTGTCTCAAACTGTATTTTAAAAGCATTTATTGCAACTAGGCAAAACTTGCACTGCATAAGTAGTAGTACTTCTAAAATGGACAAATTTTGTCCAACATTAGCATATATGAGGAAGGAGTTGATTTTACTAAAAGCTTTTATTTCAAAATTTTGTAAGTATTTCTGGTAACTTTTTTAAAAAGTTAAGATCAATTTACTAGGAGTTGAACAGCTCTTTTTTTGCTGGCAGTCAGTATCCTGACCTTGATCTCTTCTTGCCTTAAGATTAAAGGAGAAGACATATTCCTTGTGGCCATTCCTTCTGGATGAACAAAAGAGATACCAGAATCCTTTGTATAATCCAGACTTTTCTCCAGAACTAACTCTTCTGGAGCCTAATACAGTATCATTCAATTTTAAGTAAGTTTAAATTATATACAGTATCTCTTTGATTTTGTATTTATTCTGTGTAGTTAAAACTGTCTGCTTCATGCAGGTTTTGGAGAAATATGTACCATCAGTTTGATCGAAGTATGCATCCCAGGCAATCTGTGTTCAATCTTATAATGAACATGAGTGAACAAAATAAACAACTGGAGCAAGACATTAAAGAACTGGAAGCTGTAAGTATTACAAAATGAGTGTGTGTACTTGTGACTTGTTATTCAAATTCACATTTATAGTCTGTAATAATGCTGCTAGCTTTCACACGAATGTCACCACTGTATGGCCTAGCACTTATTCTATGTAGTGTTGACTTTCACTGTATGCTTCTATGCTGAATGCCAGACTATGAAGCCAATGTTTTGCTCTTAGGCACAATTTATTATGCTTTACTGATGAACTGTATTATGTAAAAGTGCTCCTACTATCAAAGCATTGCTGATGATGGCTTAATGTAGGTTAAATTTTTTTGAAACTTATCTTTGATAACAAGGTACCCATCATAGCTATAGCTGTGTTGCTAAACTAAGGAGACTGAAAATGTTTTATTTCCATTATAGCTACTAAAATGGAAGCAGTAAGTAGTGTCCTTTTTTTTTTTTTTTTTTTTAAACTTCATATGCAGGTGCATGCTGTTGTAAGTCACCATAACTATGGGGCATATACACTGTAATGTATATGTAAAGACAAAGACAGGGGTAAATACAGAGATCAGATTTCTATAAATGGCTTCTACTAGGTGCTGCAGTAAGCAGCCAGGAAAGACTGAAGAGTGTATCTCACTTTATTCTAGTATGACTTAATCGGTGGCTTTTAATTAGTATTTCATTATAGTCAATTAAGGTGCTGAAACTTCAGAATAATACTTTCTAAGAAATGCGAAAGCTTTCTGATTATCAGTTTTACTTTTTTGTGTGGCTAGAAATTGTAATACAACTGTGTGTTATGTTGGGGGGGGAAGAACAGCTTTTGTAAGAGGAAAGACTTTACTAAACTGATCCCACTGTTAAAATGTTTCAAATCATAATTTCATATAACTGAAACAGCAACATGAGAACCCAGGATGATGAAGCAAGCTGAAGAATAAGCAAGATGTAAAGTGAAGTCTTCGTTTTGAATATTCTAGAACCTTGTTCTAAGGTGTGAAGTTCACCTGAACCCACATTTCTCACTTGAGTGATGACAGAATGTAGTTATTTGAAATCTTGACGTAGACTTTCCTTCTGTTTCTGTTGTCTTCAAAAAGTTTATGTCAAGAGACACCAAGGTCTTCTGGGCTCAGTCTGGATTCTAATAGAGCACTAACACATCAACAAAATAATCAGTTGAGTTGATGAGTTCAAGCTTCCAGTTACTGGGTGATATTGTTTAAATTAAAAAAAAAAAACAATAAACAAACAAGCAAAAAAACCAACACCCCCCTGCCCAAAAAAAAGGCACACTCCCACCCCCACTCCCCCACCCCCAAAAAAACAAAACCAAACAAACCCAGCCCTTAGTCCAGATCTTCCCTCTTCTCTTGCTCAATGCTTGAAGGATAGGTCCTTTTCTCCAATCCTGCTTTCTAGTTGACACCTTTTAGTGTATTCCTGCATTTGAACAAACTGTATTGCTGTTTTTCAGATCTAAAGGAGAAGTCTTAGTAAGGACATAAGGGTGTAGGTGTGAAACTGCTCTTTATCTTTGAGACTTGTGGTCTACTGTAAGCTCACTGCTTGCTAATAGTACCAAGGCCCGTCTTCCTCTGCCTGTATTCAGGAAAGTATTGCCATCTTGATAGCAAACAAACAAGGGGCAAGCCTGAAGAACTTCTCCTCTATGGACACTGACAAGCAACCTTTCTACCTTCTGCTCAGCTTCAAATTTTAAGCATATAGTGCTTGTAGTATCTGCTGTAAACTGTGGGGTAAAATGTCTTATCCAGTGGCCTAACATTTAATAATACTGTTACATATCTAACCTAATAAAAGGTTTGGTAGATGCTGAGCTGGCCAGCAAAAGTGGATTCACTTCCCTTCAGAGCAGATCATCATCAGTAAAGAAGTCATGCTCACTGTCAGTAACTATTCTCTGTATTTCAGAAAATAAAGCAGAGAAATGGGCAGTCAGATGCACTCCCTGTGAAGGAACAGCAGCAGCCTGCTCATCCTGCACCCCTGGCACTGAAGACCCCTCCATGCTTCAAGAAGGAGCAGCCACTGATCCCTGTAAACGATGCTGTAAGAACTATAGAGGGCAGCAACGCAGCAGACAATCGCTACAGTGAATTTGTGGCAGAGTTCTCGAAAGCTGAGCCTGCTGTTGTCAGCTTGGAGTATGGAGTGGCCAGGATGACCTGTTAATTAAAATCCAGAGCCGTGCTCCTCTTCTAGACTGATTGAATTAAGAGATGGATTATTTTGAGGATGGGTCTGTGCTGCATGACCAAAACATGATTTGTATATTGGCAAGTTCTGTTAACATAGACTAGAACAGCATGCTAGTTGTCAAGTGTTTGCTGTTCTTCTAAGGAAAAAAGTGTAGTTGTCTTTTAAGAGGTAGGAGCATTTGGTAAGTAGTAAATAAAAATCAAGGGAGGGTATGTCTTTGGATTTAAGTCAGTTTGCACTAAATAAGTTAAAATAGTAATATTACTTTATCCAGTGTAGGAAAACACAGGTGGTCTTTCACAAATTGATTTTATTTGGGCAAGAAAACTTGAACTTTCTATTTTAGGAACTGAAGCTACATGTATATATTGCTTATGATATGAATATGTATACCCTTGTTTAATGTTACCCAGTACTAACTTTCAGTGTATTAAGTGCCATGGAAAATGTGATATATTTCAAATCATAAATAGTTGGCCTTAAACCTGTCAGATCAGTTATATCGTTGTCCTTACTATTGCAGTCTACCTGGCTCTGTTTACGTTGTATTTGCTCAAATTGTTATTTCCTTAAAGCAGGACTGAGTATAAGGAATGAAGCATGCCTAAGCTGGCACAGCCTTTCAGCAAATAGCTGTATGAATGTTAACTGTTCTTTCTTCCAATTTCGCTATTGTTTAAAATCTGATAGATTGGCCTGACTTTCTTCTCTGGCAGCTCAGTAGATTGAGCATCACTGAAGCTACAGGTTGTGTCTGACCTTAAATACGGTGCCATAAATCAACACATTTAATTGTAAAGAGTAAAACATGTCATGTAAGACAGTGGAGCTTAGCCAATAACTGAATTGTCGGGTTCATTCAGATTGTTTACTATGTGCTGTGCAGTTGTTCAAGTTGCAAGAAGGGAAGCAGAAGTTCTGGAAGCATAATCTACTGACATTGTTTCCAAGGACAAAAAAGTCATTTATGTGTCTGAAGCTCATGAGAAACTGAGTGCCTTCTAAATCTTTCATTAGAAGGAAATTTTAATTTTCAGTGAAACCCCCTTTTCATTTTGTAAAAACCTGTCCAACCTGTGCATATTTTAAGTAATTTCAGTACAGTCCAGAGATTGTTTTTTTTGTTATCGGAGAGGTGACAAATACTACTTCTAGCAGGATGCAGTAGTGATCATGGGACATAAGAAAAAATGGGGAAACACAGTTTGTAAGCTTAATTATATATCTGTAACTGTCAAGTAAGGGAGAAAGTTTTTGCTAAGTTTGTTCCATGATGGATTTTTTTGAGCAGATAACAAAATAGGTAAGAAAAGTGCTGGTGCCCTGTTCTTAAATAAAGGTATAAATTATAACTTTGGCTATTAAGATATGTAGGTAAGATGTTAGATTAATGCTACTGACACATTTTATCTCTGGATTTAAAGAATTTTTGGTTACAAGTGAAAATGAGTTTATTCTCATCCTAATCCCTGAAGTCTTGTGAAATGTACTGGTGTGTCTCACACAATTTGTCATTATTGGCAGCGTTTCCCTCTGCACCATATTGGATCCAGGACTCTATTAGCAAGGCCAGTATAGGTCATGATCAAGTTGCACTTGTGAAGCTGTCTGGGAAAAATTAACTGTGACTCCTATGTTTGAATATTAATTCACCTGTTTCATTGATTTGTTTTTTAAAAGCCTCAAAGTGTAAATAAATGTTCATAAGTATTTTTCTTTATTCCCAATGACATGAGCATAGTGTCACATTTAAAATACATTATCCAGTCACTTAAATGTGTTTAGAATTTCTCCACTACAAGTTTTGATAGTTTCACAGTTGCACAGTGGTGCCTTACAGGGTTGCAACAAGAGGTTTTTGTGCCTTGTTATTTATTGTCTCCCCTCTTCTCTCATCTTTGTATCAACTTGGTTCTGTGGTTTTCCTTTGGAAAAATGTCCTGTATGTTAAGCTTGTGTTTTATCACAGTAGTGACAGATTTATCAGTGACGATGTAGGTAAGTGATATCAATTTGTACTTGTTTGTTTTAATACTTAGCTGCTCTGGTGTGCCATGTACACTTTTCATATTTATTATTTAGAGGTTATAGACTCAGAAGATTATATTAAGCTTTTTTGCAAATATTGTTGTATGTTGTTTTTACTTTTAACAACCATCTGAGTACCCCTGTATACAAGGCTTTTAAAAAGAAGATCAGTTTCCTTCCAGTACTCCTAGTGAGTCTGTTTTGATCTTCAGGCCATTTTTATTGGCAGAGTTCACCTCTTAGCAGAAGGAATTGGGATGCCTTTTTATTTTAAATCAAGGTAGACATGTTAGGTCAGCTTTAAAATGCCATAAAACTATCTGCTCAAGCACAGAACTTGTTTTTTCATCAAAAAATACAATACTTCCTGATCTGAAGTAAATATTTTACTCCCATTAGTATATGAATAGAGTTTTACAAGGCTGTTTTGTAGAGCAGCCTTCTTGTAAAGTCCAGGTAGCTCTGCCAACTCAGCCCCTAGGGTCACCAGTGAGAAAAGTTCCTGCAGAGAGGCAGCTGTCTCTTCTCATTTGCTGTTTAGGCTTAAGCCAAAACTACCTAAAGCACATGGGACCTGTGGTGAAGTAAATAGATGGTAGCGAAGTGAACTCCAACAAAACTTGGCAGCATGGCCAGGACTCAGCACAGTGGGGCTGTTCTGTGTCCTTCAAGAAGGGTTTAAAAAATATGAAGCAAGTTGACTCAAAAAAAAAATTGTGGCAGAAGCTTTCTGGGAGCAGAAGGAATTCTTATTCCAGTGGATGAGCTTTTCTTCAACATGAACACACTGCTTCGAGAGCAGTAATGATACTAAAAGGTGCCCTGTACAGCTCAAACTAATGTGCAGGACACTTTCAAGCTGAAGCATTAAAGTGTAGTTGGTGCACTCACCAGTTGTTTGGGAATATAATGTCCCAGGTAGAAAGCTGTTACAGCTGATCCTGCTCCATTGGTTGCAAGACTTTAACATCTGTCAATTCTTTCCTTCATCTTGAGAAGGTCTCAGTCAAGTCTGTGGGTTTCTACATTTTGTGCTGCGTTTGATCTTTTTTGGAGTCTAAATGATATAAAAGAGAAATAATTCTGTTAATTAACCAAGCTGATAGATCTCACCTGAGCAACTAAAACTGATTTCACTTTGTACTCCAGGCAATTTATTTCACTAATACCAAAAGAGTTGGACTTACTTTTGGGAGACTTGCTGTTGTTATACTGTATTCTTTAATACAAGTTTAAATATTCAACTGCTTTGTAGGGTGACTGCAAAATTTACAGGCTAAGAAATTAATTAAGCAACAGTGAACTGAGCCTGTGTGTTTTCAACACATGTCCAATTACTAGTGACCTAAATACAGGGCAAAAGCCTGAAGTCTGGAGTCCATTTAGAGAATTGGAACAGCAGTCCTTCCATAAAACCGCCCATCCCTATGTGGAACAAATACCCTAATATAATGTTCTTTTAGAGGGAAAGCCATCACAAATCAAGCTGTGACAGTTTAATATGTGTCTTCCTCAGGATAAGCACACTGGAGAATGCCTTGCTGGGAAAGGTGATGTGTTCTTCCTCTGTAGCTGCTGTTTTCATAAGGCCTTTCGATAAAGAAACACATCAGCACATCCCTGAAAACTTGCTACTCCAGTTCTGGTAAAGTAAGCACATAACTGGATGCACAGTTGGACTGAAGTATGGCTGGAATAGACTGACTTAACTACTATCCTCTCAAGGAATTGACATAAATAATATAAAGAAGTTCAGTGTTAAAACAGCACAGGACACATGCTATCAATATATGTTCTTTAGAGTCCCGCTGTGCTCTTGAGCAAGCGTGGCTAGCATGAGGGTCTTGTGTAAGTATGATGACTGCTTTCTAGTTAGTTCAGAGATAATCTGATTTCAAACTAGATCATTCCTCCACAGTGGTAAATTATAGATCTTTAGGTCAGAACGTAAAGGCTGCTCTTCAAACCCTTTTTTAGTTGCTAATAGTTCTAAACCTATATCTGATCATAAACTTAAGTATACTGGTTGTGAAACCTGTATTAACCTTTAGGATTAGGTCTTTAGATTAGACTGCAGTCTGCTTTGACTTGCTTTCACCACTTATGCCATGCTTTTCTCCAAGTGTTGGTGTGCTTGATATCTGTCTTTCTGATATAACAGGCTTCTTACTGCTGTGGATGTTTCAAAAACCTGGAAGTACTGCAGTTTTTTCCACTATTCTGAAGGCTCAGATTAGTGAACAGTATGGGTGAGCTTATGACCTACCTACATGTTAAATAGCATTGAAAATCAGCACAGCATCATAATTCAACTTCCATATGCACAGTAGGCTTAAGGAAGAGGATGTAGTCAAGATCCTTGTCACAGCATGTAGCAAGGAACAGGATCCTGGTGGGGTATGACTCATAAAAAGTAGAAGCAGTAGAACTGTTTCAATGTCCAGCAGCAGCTCAGGGACTTGAGGTGGAAAGTCAGAGGCATGCTGCTTCTGAGATCAGTTTCCAAGTCCCAGAGACTTCAGTGACCTGGACTATCAAACGCTTGTAGCTGAGCAATTCTGCACTGGCATCAAGCAGCAGAAAATATATATGCATTTGTGTTTCTTAATCTACTGACTTCAAGTAATAAATGTCCCGGTGGTGACTTTGAATTTGGGGTGCAGTATTTTGTTTATTCTTGTTTATCGTTTAAATCAAGGTCAGTTGTATGCTGTTTATAATTAAGTGGATTTATAGTTTTTGCCACATACTATTAAAGTCTTTCCCATATTAATGGCAAGGTTAGCATGTGCATATCTCGTGCTTTGTATCTCTGCATATATTTCTGATGAATGCTTTTCTTGCAAGTAGGCAGTCTTGGTGAAGTCCCATGCTGCTCCACAGAGGCATTCCCCATTAGCTAGAATTACAGATTGGTTTCCTTGCTCTGTCTTACTGTTACTCTTCAATCTTAACGTTTATCTTTATGGCTCTCTGTTGGCAATGTCCCTTGACAAACATCTTTCCATCAAAGAAAACGGGTTTGTTTTTCTGTGTCTCAGGGATTTTTACCCCTGAACTAGTGAACTTGAAAAATATTCCTTATTCTCCCTTTCAGGGCTTCTGAGTGCCTGATGACTTCCACAGTCAGTTTACTCACACATTTTAACTTCAGACCTGGCTATTTAAAAAAACCCAACAATTATTCTAATGTTGGATGTGGCAAAGGGGAAGAAAACTGTTTTCATTGTCACATATCTGGAAAGACTGGCTGTTTCACTAGCATTTATTACTTTCTAACATTCTCTGTAAAAGTCATTTAGTTGTGTGCTGGGATCATGCTTGATGTATATTCCTGAAGAAACTTTAGCAAATGGAATTTTGTGATCAGTATTTTATTTGTATGTGTTTTGAAAATCCATAAAGCTTAAAATAAAATGATCATAATATTGCTAATCTAACTGGGCATTAAATAGTCCGTTTATAATAGCACTGTTTTAACATTAAGTGTACTGAATAAAATTTTCATTTTAAGGATAAATCATACAGACTATAGAGTACAGATATTACTTGGCCTATTTATTAGGTTCTTGAATGATCCTGTAACTTCTAGATATGGGAGACTGGCTCAGCTTCATGTTACTGACTCTAGACTGCTGGTGTATTAATTACAAATGCTATTCTGTGCTTAATTTAAGAGTAGGGTATCAGAGCTCTGTGTTTACTTTAGTATTACTATTACTTCATACTCAGTAATCCAGATTACTCTTTTCAACAGCTCCAACAAATCTGGTTAGGAAATTTGAATAATTTCTGAAAATGCCATTTTATCTTTTCAGTGACTTTTCCATTAACTATTGTGAATGGTTTTCTTTAATTCTTAGTCTGAGGCTTTTTAGGACTATACAACTGTATTATTCATTTGGTAAACACAGCAATCATCTTTTGTCATGGTAATAAAGGTCTCCCTAACTACTACTTGCTCCACACTGCTCAAGCTTCTTCCAGCAGCATTTTGCTTATATTTACTTATTTCACCCACATCCAACTCCATCTTGATGTGCACTGAAAATACAGTTTCTGTTCATAGTACAGATGGAAACTAATGTACTGGAGCACTGCACTATGAAAGGTTATGATTTTTATTACAGGATGGGATCTTCCTGCTGTAGGTAGATGCAGCTTAAAGGGCTCTCTTCTATCCATTGGAGGCTTTCATTCAAGTGCCTGTGTTTCAGGGAGAATCTGGTTAGTACCATTAGGGGAAAATGTCAAAACTCCTGCCAAGCCATAGCAGTATATTTTAACCATGTGCCACAACAATGATAACATCTGTCAACTGGGTTCTCTACCTTGTGCCAGTAGCCACTACATGAAGTGTGTGAACATACTCATTCGCATGTGCTTCTAGTGTATGGATGCTACTGGATGTAGTGAAAGTGCAGAGTTTCATATGTGCATATATAAGTGGAAGAAAAAGCAAAGTTTAGCTTCAGCTCTTAGCATAGTTTAGAGGCTGGTTAACTTATTTTACTGACTTATTCCAGGGGGCATTCATTGCCTCACTTGTCTGTAACTATATAACCTACCTAAGTTTAGGTATTACTTGAGGCGTGCTTGTTTAAACTGAGGATAGACAGCATGTATGAGAAGCAAATGGGACATAAAAATTGTTAAAAGGCCAAAAAGGAGACTGATACATTGTTCTTGATCCTTGTGGTGACTACATGGATCTGTGGAGAAGGGCTGACACTGCAGTGTATTGGGGGCTTCAGTGGTAGCTGAGCTAATTCCAGAATTTGATGCAAGACTAAGCCTAAAAATGTTGCCATCTGCTTTGTTTATTTTCCATGCCCTGAAGCTGCCCAGGTTACAACACTAAAGGTGGCAGCGTTATAGCATGAATATGGCTTGGCAGAGGACAGGGCTGTTCCCCAAATAGTCAGGAGTGTGGATGTTGTTTGGAAATGTTCCTCAGCTGTGATAGTAGCTGCTCTGGCTGAGTTCTGCTATGAAAGCATGAGACTGCTGCAGCCTAGCACTCTGAGATTCATGTGAGAATGCTTTGTGGGGGAAATGCTCTCAGTAGTTAGATCCTTTATTTTCTAATCCCACTTAAAGCATTATGCTGGTGGAAGAAAAAATTCTTAATAAACCAAATGCTTGCTTTTCTGTTCACTCACTGGACTTTGCATGTGCACTGTCTTTCTACTGTTCTAGGCTATCTGGTGACATGTGACCCATTAGTCAACAACATATTCAAGAGGTTAAAGTGTGACTACTATGAATGGATAATAACTTTGATTATTCTTTTCTCTTCAGTGTGATAAGGACAGTATATAAGCAAGAAAAATGTTCCAATTGCTATTAAAACAATTATTTGAATGGCTCTTAAATGTTCATTGTGGGTGCAGGAAATGTCAAAGGAGACTACAGGCAGCTGTTATAAAACATACTGAAAAGAAGTGATTAGTAGAAAAAAAAAGGATGAATATTTATGCATATGTTAAATCTAGATTTAAGAAGGGTTTTGTTTTGTAACTCCAAGTGATTTAAATTCCAGTGTGAATATAGCTAGAACGAGAGGTGTGTGGTTAGTAGTGTCTCAAAAGAAAAGAATAAGCACTCTTAGTGCCTGGTGTGGTGCTTTATCAAGACAAAACTTTGTAAATATTAATCTCGTAGTTTTTTTTTAAGAAGTTATGGTGAGTTGACTTCGGATGGTGAATGCATTTTTGGGCAAGAAAATATAAAGGAGGAACATGGAGCACAACTGGATATAAACATCACTAAGAATTTTGTGAAATATTGTGCAGAGGAGAGCACTGAGGTTTTGGTAGCTAAAAAAAAAAAAAGAGGCTGGATTGCACTTCAATTCCTTTGCTGCTGCTTATATCCCACAGCACACAGGTCCATCCACAGTGCCAAGGACAGCCTGGATGAAGAGAGATAACTGGTATCTGGCTGCTTGCTGATATGAACCAAGAAAAGGAAAGGAGAGCTGCCTTCCAAGCAGAGATCACGTGGAGGAGGTTGCATACCAACAGTGGGTCATGAGGTTGGAAGACAATGAATTTCTACTTAGACCTTTACAGGAGAAAGGCTGTTCAGCTGGAGTTCAGCAGTGGGGAAAGGATTAGGTTTATCAGTAAAAACTATTTTAAGTTATTGGTGTTTGATGTAATGTAGGGAGAAATTGAGCTATTTATATAACCCTCTGAGTTATATATAGCCCTAAAAATTCAAATTCTTGGATCTCAATTTGGCTTGTTCTGTTTCAAGGTGAGAATTCTGCTTTGCTGTCCTAAAGTCTTGCCTGAAGTTTATTTAAAGAGCACAACTTGGCAGAGACTGTTCTTTTACCTGTGGATTTGCATAGAGTTCTATATCCTCCGTTGTGCTTAGTGCTCTTGTGACTATTCAGTTTCTGGTCATTTCTGCTACTTGCTTTTTCTCTTATCTGCCTATATTCAGTCAAGAGTCCAGGGCAACTGAGGCTGAGAAGTGCTGCTCATGTAGCTGCAGAGGTCAGCCAAGGGACAGTGGTTTACTATTGAGCTGCTTGTCTTGGTAACAGCTATCCAAGTCAGCAAGGTAGAAACCCACCATTGGGGATTTCTAGCAAGAGTACAATGTTTTGAGTTTGAGCTGCAGAACAGTGCAGTAATTTGGAAACTGGTATTATGGCAGGTCTGCAGAAGAGCTAATGACCTGACCCTGTTCTGAAAAGAACCATCAGCCAAGTGCTGGAAAAGGAGCACTTCTGAGCAGCGTTTGAGAATGTGAAGTGTGGTGCTCTGTCATTGTGAGGATTAGGGAGAGCTGCTCTGATTTACTGCAATTAACAGGCATTCTAAAATTGTTCTGCTCATGCTCAATCTGTTGCTTTGTAGGCTTATTAGTGTAACAGATAATGGGGGTGCCTTTAGTGTTAGTTAAACAAGCAGCATATGTATTGAGGACATGCTCTTCCCCTGGGGAGGTTTTTAGAAATTGGTAATCACAGCCTAGAAAGAGCTAAGGCATCTCAGGTTTTACAAGGTCAAGGGAGTTTGGATTTCTAGCAGTGTTTGGGCCATTAAACAGAACTACAGTTACACCACTGAGTGGGTCTCTACCAGCTTCAGGGAGACTTTCAGGCTCATTATTAAATCATGCTTGCGTTCTCCGTAACTGTTCATATTAATTACAGTTTTAAAATTAAGGAAAAGCTCCCTGTCCTGTTCTCTGGTAGAGGTTGGGCTAAACTGAGTTTCCACTTCGGATAAAAAGATATTTTGCATTTGGCTCCAAATAACAGTATGCTTTATAGGAGGAAAAAAAAAATAATCCAAGATGTTCCTGTGCCTGTTGACTAGTTTTTTTATTAAATCTAGTAATTTAAAAATGGTAGCACTTTGTGTAAAACATCTTTTTAATCCATATAGTATTAAGAAAAAGAAACCAATGAAGACATCTTTTAGCTTAATACCCCTTAAGGTTTTCAGAATTAAAAATACTAGTATACTAAGCAGCCCACTGTAGGAGAAGATGAGGTTGAAGACCATCTATGGCACCTGAAAGTGCACAAGTCCATAGGACCTGATGAGGTGCATCTGTAGGTCCTGAGGAACTGGCAGATGAAGTGGCTAAGCCACTATCCACCATATTTGAGAATTTGTGGCAGTCTGAAGTTCCCACTGACTGGAAAAGGGTAAACATAACTCTCATTTTTAGAAAGTGAAGAAAGGAAGATCTGGGGAACTACAGGCCAGTCAGTCTCACCTGTGTGCCTGGCAAGATCAGAGTCGATCCTCCTGGAAACTATGCTAGGGCACATGGAGAATAAAGAGTTCATTGATGAAAGCCAACATGGTTTCACAAAGAACAAATCATGCCTGATGAATTTAGTGGCCTTCTATGATGGGGTGACGGTATTGGTGGATAAGAGAGGAGCAACTGATGTCATGTACCTGGACTTGTGCAGCTTTTCACACTGTCCTGCATGACATCCTTGTCTCTAAATCAAAGAAACAGATTTGACAGATGAACCGCTTGGTGGATAAGGAATTGGCTGGATGGTCACTCTGAGTTGCGGTCAGTGACTTGATGTCACAGTGATGAGTGACGTTCATCAGGGGTTGGTACTGGGACATCTTTGTTGGCCATGTGAATGGTGAGATTGAGTGTACCCTTGGCAAATTTGCCAACAAGACCAAGCTGTGTGGTTCAGTCAACACGCTGGAGGGAAGGGATGTGCCATCCAGAGGGACCTTGACAGGCTTGGGAGGTGGGCTCATGCAAACCTCATGAAGTTCAACAAGGCCAAGTGCAAGATCCTGCACATGAGTTGAGGCAATCCCAAGCACAAATACAGGCTGGGCAATGAGTGGATTGAGAGCAGCCCTGTGGAGAAGGACTTGTGAGTAGCAGTGGATGGAAAACCATGAGCCAGCAATATGTGCTCACAGCCCAGAG